GTATGTATCAATTGAAAAGGATTCTCAGTTACAGTTGAACTGGAAGGAAATGGTAGTCTCTTCTGTCTAGCAAAATGACATACATCACAGGGTATAGAGCTGTATGTTTCTATAGATGTACATAGTTGTTTCAAAAGTGGTATTTTGGAGTGTGAAACATGCCCTAATCTATGGTGCCAAAGGTCAAAAGGTGCACTACTGGTTGCAGTAGTGTGTTTAGGTATAGTAGAGCTATCTATGTTGTCTAATAGGTAGAGGCCATGGGACAGCTTAGCAGAACCAGTCATCCTCCTCAGCTGCATGTCCTGAATCAAGCACACATCAGAAAAAAAAGTTAAGCAAAGTGATTTGTTCTTGCTCAACTTACTGACAGATATTAAGTTGAAGTTAAACTGAGGAACATATAAAGCTTCCTCAAGCACCAGGTCTGAGACATCTCACAGTTCCTGAGTGACTAGCTTCAACTCTTTGTCCAGTGGGAAGAGTGATGTAAACACCACTGATCTGTTTGTGGTGTTGAAGAAGATCAAGGGAACAGACAATGTGATCTGATGCCCCAATGTCTAGGATCCATAGCTGGTTGTATGGACCCTTGTTTTGTGCATTGAAAATATATTTACCTGAGGATTCTGGTTTGCTGGTAGTGAAGGCTGCAGCTGAGAAGCTTGGTCCAGTTGAGGCTTGGGCATTCTGACTCATCATCTGCATAAACTTGTCATACTCAGCTTTAGTGAGCTTGACTTCTTGCTGGCCCTTGTCTCCAATCATTGTGGTGGCTGCATTAACTTGAGGTCTTCCTCTTCCTCTTCCAGTTCCAGGAGGGTAGCCATTCTTCTGATAGCACTTGTCTTCTGTGTGACCAAGTTTTTTGCAGTGAGTGCACTCAACTGGTCTTCCAGTAGCAGTCACACCCCTAGGAGTCATGCCAGGTGGCCAGCCATGTTTGTGAAAACAAACATCTTTAGTATGCCCCAGTGATTTGCAGTAGGTACAATAGGGTCTGGTTCTTTTGTTTGCTGGGATGTTGTTGTGAGAAGCAAAAGCAGTACTCTCAGCAGCAAGGGCTTTGCCTTGATGGCTCCCATACTGTTGTCTCTCATGCTGAAGCATCCTCTGGAACACCCTATCAATGGAGGGGAGGGTGTCCTGAAACAGAACCTGTGGCCTAACTGCACTATAGTTCTCATTAAGTCCTCTGAGGAACTGAATGAAATAGCCAGTGTCCCTGTAACCTATGACCTGTCTCATAACCCTACATGTGGAGTGGCTGGTGGAAGTACAGTCACAAGGATCTAAAGGCTGGTAGTTTTCAAGCTCATCCCTCACAGCAATCATCTCACCATAGTACTCAGTTAGGGTTTGGTTACCTTGTTTCATGGTGGCTAGGGCTTCTATCAGCTCTGCTATCCTCACCATGTCCCCTTGTCCATATCTAGCTCTTAAGCTTCTCCAGGCTTCTGCAGCTGTCTTGAAAGACATGATTGTCTTCCTAATCCCGGGCTCAACTGCTTGTTGGATCCAAGACAGGACCATGATGTTGTTCCTGTTCCAAGACCAGGCTTGTGGACTGTCTGCTGCTGGTTCAGCCAGAGTGCCATTTATGAACCCGATCTTATTCTTGGCTCCTAGTGCATTGTACATCGCTTTGTTCCAATCGTTGTAGTTGGTAGTGGTGAGCTTCTCCGCCACCAGAACTTGTCCTGGTTGTTCAGAGCCATATAGGTAGTATGGATCTGCCATCGGGTCCTGAAGTGTGGTGGTATGAGCAGCATTGTTGTTGGCTGTTGCATCTGCTCCATCAGTGCTCATATTCACATCAACCATTGTTGTGGCGGCACCTAGGGTTCAAGGGAACCAGGCTCTGATACCATAACAACGCTTTTGTGTTGGAAACCCTAAAACTTGGGTTGTCTGTCTCAATGTAGTTTTCAGCTTATATAGTTGTTTACAGTAGTACAAGTGAGGTGCAGAAATGTAGAAGAAGACAAGGTTGCTTCAACCGCAAGTACAATCCGAAATGGGTAAAATGATGAAAAATAGAAGATCAGGGACTAAAAGTGTAAATGTCTATCCCGTCTTGTTTTTCCCTGAAACGATGTCGCTCTAGGTCCTGCGCGGTCTTGGTTGACTTAGTGAAACGCCATCGTCGGGATGCTGGCTTTTGCCCGTTGGCTGAACGTCATCTGGAAGGTGGGATTGAGAAGAATTCAAATGTGCTGAATTCTTCTCTAATAATAGTAGGATATTCAGATGCAGAGAAGCAAAACTTACAAAACCCATACCTTACCACCCCTGAAACAAATAACAGCATTCTGATTCCATCATATCACGAATTGGTATGATTTGTATGAAGAGCAGTAAGACGTGGTTTTACAAATTTTGCAGCCTTTGAATTTTGTACCATCACCCAGGACTCAGCCGGAACCTATACTGTATGCTTCCTGCTCCATACGGACCTATTTGGCGCACCAAGTTTATCTATCTAGTTGTTGACTTTCCTTCCTTGTCTGTCGGGAGCAAATCAAGAGTGTTACCACTTACCATGCATCTACTACACATTTCTTCTTCTTCTTCATTCTTATCTATAACTATAGCTTAGCTTTGCTTTTGTATTCATTTATATCACGGCACAATTTGTCTCCGCTTTCTTTTTGCTGATAAGATAGACGAACGTTTGGCAACCATATATATTCGTACGTACAACATAAACTTCTAGAATGGAAGAATTTTAAGTTTTTGTAAAGAAAATTCTTCTTTGTTCGAGGAAAGATGTGAATGCATGCCTTTTCCTAACTGAAATGAACTGGGTGTTTGTGTTAGTAAATGATATATGATCTATAACTGAACTTCTTTTTAACAATTTGAATTATTAAAATCAACTGGTTCTTAATGTGATATCAGAGTCATCTGTGATTAAAATGTTTTATATTCGAATTTCGATGATCTACATATATTTTTTAAGCACGTGGTATCCAAACCTGCGCTCAAACTTCAAATCCATACGAATCGATTTTCGTTAGAGGAATATATTAGTATATTTATATATCAAGGATTGAAATACTGTACCGGAGCTTGTACCGGAAAAGTCCGCCGGTAAGGTATTTTATGCTAAAACCGTGGTTTAACCATGGTTCAACCACTTCATACCGCTAAATATCGCCTACCGGTTTAGGCTCAGATATGAGATTTTTCTGGTTGAACCACCGGTACAGTATGGCATTTCAATCCTTGGTATATATATGGTATAGGGTGAATGATAATACTTGTAAGTCATATGGATAATTGCCCACATGATTAATGTGGATAGAGCAAGAAATTAAAGTATCAACACTACACTTGTTGGTTTGCCAATCCACGAACTCTCGAAGTTTGTACAACATATATATATCCTAACGAACTCAAGATGAATATGCTAATTTTCATCATTGTAATCACATACATCACAAAAGATAAAAAGCGTTGAAAATAAAATTCTTTTTTAAGATGTTTATAGTATCAAAATACACACTCGAACAACCACAACTAACAAACCACACAAAAGAGACAGATTTTGAATCATGGTTCTGAAAATATGAAAATGGCGACACATGGAGCAGGAGGGAGTGTGTGTATGTACATCAAGATGGCCAAGGAAGAAAGAGACATATGATAGCAGAAGGAAAAAAAAGTTGGTTTTTGGGACAGTGGATTTGAGACAAGGATGTATCATTGAAGGGAGTTGAAGCAAGATTATGATGGTAGAATTAGGGTTTGATTTTTTTTTCGGGAATGGGCTTTAACATTTCTCTCCATATATATATTTTTTTTCTTTTTTGTTTGGCGGTGGTGGGAACCGGATGGTATGTTCATGACTTGACTCCATAACCTAATAAGTGTGACCACCCATTATACTTGGCAACAATTATAAGTAACTTTTGCTTTCTCTTCCATATATATGTTGGCCCCAAAATTCTTGTGACATTATTTGTTGCGTTCTTCTACTATCTCATTATAGATTTTTCCCTGCCACCTTCCATTGAAAGACTGGGTGAAAAAGATGAGAAGCATTCATCTAACTAATTTTGAATTTGGATATGAAAATGAAGGTTTTGGGTTTGGAAATTTTTTAGATTTATTATAGATTTGTTGCATTTTGTATTTGAAAGATAATATTATTTGTTTAGTTGAATTTTTATCATGGATTTAGTTCATTTGGTATTTGTGTCTAAAAAATTTGCCTTCTATAATGTGGTATTTGCAAATACCAAATGAAATGTGGTATTTGCAACTACGTGGGGTCCACGGATTTGGAGCTAAAAAATTTATCCAAATCCGCATATCCCACATGTTTGCATACCTTAACAAACAATGACTTTTGACAAAAAAAAAATATGATGGTTAATATTTGGAGACCAAATGCAACATCCAAATCCCATTAACAAACAACACCTGAACTTCAAGAGGTTTCTCTTTTTTGTCACAATTGTTGGTTTAAGTGACATCTTTAAGTTACCCTTCCACTTAGGTATGTCCTCCTACCATCTTTATTAATAAGCTCCTTTTCAAGCAACATTTTCTATATGCTTCTTTATTATATAGTCTTATTGTATTAGTAGTAATATCAATGTAAATGTGTGTTGAAAGGCTACTACAAATAGTTTGATTGTATAATAAGTAATAACCTTTCACAGGTGTATCTTCAATGATCGAATCATCACATTTGAACATGAAAATGTCTCTAATGTAGATCTCACCATTTCATTGCTAAAATTATCACTTATTACCACATAATCTGTCTTGCATCATCTTTTCTCATGATTGAACTAATATAAACATAACGATTAAATTTAACTCATTCCTTTTAACGGTTATTAAAAGCTACTTCTTCTTCCACTTTATATTTAGTGATCGACCACCGACTGACTGGACTGGACATGAAAGCAAAGTCACATGCAGCTGATGTGGGAACTGCGAACCCGTGGGGTTAATTGATCCAATCCAGATGCTTTAATGGAACCAAAGTGGGAGCCAAAAATTTGCCAGCTCAACCTCTTCAATTGGTCCACTCCAACAAGCTTCCTGTTTTTGGTTGCGAGAGTACATCAACCGACGATGAGTTTACTTGGCAATGCATAATACAAAAACTGAGTAGTTCACAGCAGACATATATGAAGAAAATTCAGAGCTTTCATGATTGATACTAACCCACTTTGGGCAGCTACCACTAAGACAACATTCAGGCAAATCAATTCTGATGTGTAATTGTATCCAACATAGTTCCCAAGTCACATCTACTGCATATATAAATCAAACAATCGAATAAATTAACTATGCATATGCCCCAGACGAACGGCGTTTCCCCCTTCTCCTGCATCATTTGCTTCCACACTAATTGAATCACTGCTAGGAATCCTGAATTCTGGCAGCTCTCTTACCATTTTCGTGGTATTGTTCGTACGTTCTTTCGATCAAAGTTTCGGTCTTTTCAGATTCACAGAGCAGTTTATGCTACTTTCTTTTTCTTCTTCTTCTTCTTCTTCTTCTTCTTTTTTCTGTCTGGTCTATTGTTCATCAGTTTCTGTGCTGTTGCTATTGGAGCTGCCAACCCAATACTGCTTCACACCAACCAATATCTTCTCTGGGACAAGGGGGCCATCTTCATGATCCAACATTCTGGTATCCCATCTCATGCCGTTGCTAATGCTCATCACCTCGTTCAGCACGTCGACCTCATCTCTTATCAGCACTGTGCCTTCGGGGCGCAGAATTCTGTCCATTTCCAGAAGTATGTCTTCAAGATTGCACCTGTTGTAAACAACCACACATTTGTTGAAGTATTGTCTAAGAGTTATGAATTCAATTCAAGTAGCTGCATCAACAAGAAGAATAATTGGCAGCAGGTTTATGTTTAAACCGACAAGCACACTCCCACTACGAGAATGGCTAGGAAAGTTTAGGAATTGGGCAAAATGAATTCATAGCTTTCTCAACTGGTATAGAAGAATATAAATCAAGTGTCTTTTTAACTGTGTAAAAGAATGGCAATTGTATGTTAGAAGTTAGTGCAACAAGGAGGGAGAGTCGCACTTACTTGTTCTTGTACAAGCTAAACAAGTGGTCCGCGTGAATAAGGTCGTACGTCCTTGGGTAAGTAGAAAATCCCTCACACCTGATAAGAAGAGAGAGCAGATGAACTCGATCAAATTGGAACATGAACAGACAAGAACGTAGGTGTGGAAGGTTCATAATCAGACATACCAATCATGATATATTCCAATCAACCCTCGTTCATAAACAACACCCAAAGTGTTCTTCTGGATCGTAGGCACGACATTCATCACCCAGGACTTGGGAGATTCAAGTGCTGCCGCAAATCCACCAAGCCCGGCATTCATATCCATCACATTCCTGTACCTTCCTGTGCCAATCAACCTATTGATTCTCTTGTAACCCTTTACACGCTTCTTCCAGAGCTTATTGTCCTCTAGGTAAGACTCTGCTGACACTCCATCCACGAGTCCATCCGATATGCGGGAAGGCACAGCAAAAAGCCTCTCTGGGAACTTCTTTACCTCGCTGCCACCTCCAGTTTCAGGGTAAGGGGTTTTGCACTTCTCCATTTCCTTGTACCTGGAAGTTACCAGTATGTTAAGCTAACCTTGTTCAGGAGCAAACCAACAAGTCTACAAAGTACAAGCATGCTAACTACTAAGTACTAAAGGTGTGTTTAAACTCACCAGACATCATCAGCATCAGCAGAGTTGCACAAGTTGACAGACTTCTTGCTACTGCAGTTTTCATCACTCGACATTTTCCTCCAGATAGCAACATCACCCTTCTCGTACTTCTTCTCCCAGCAAAGGCTTTCAGCAAGATCTTCGATCCTCTTTTGCTCGGCCTGGAGATCCTGCTTAGTTCGTTTCCACGTCTTGTAGTAAGTCTTCCAGTTGATGGGAGGACCAGACAGGACCCAATATCCTCCTGGTCGAAGAACTCGATCAACTTCCATCAAATAGATTCCCTCTGCAAAGGAAGTCAACCAAAATATGAACTATGACTATGGAAATTTATACGAACTTAATGAAAGAACATGGGACCTTTTATCAATTACACATGGAGAATGGAAACGGATGAGCAAAAGCAGTAGACTGGAGAAATCACAAAGTTGACATTGCTTTGCTTTCAGATATAATATTTGCATAGTCCAAAGTGAAACATATGTAAAAATAGACTTCAGACATGGTCTGTAGCATAGGATCTTCTGTTCGTATGTAATTCACGTTTGACCATAACTTTCTTCTGGATGAAAACAATTTTATATACCCTTTATCTACCTTTTGAAGGCCTAGGAGGACCCGGGAAATGCTAATTTAAAAGTTAAATAAGCAATATTCCAGTAATAAATTCTTGAGCACTTACCATTTTCCGTCCATGGAATCAAACATCTTGAGCACTGTGCCATATCAAAGGCTCTCGATGGGTATGGAAGATGCATTGTCCCAAGAACCCCAATCACAGCTGGCACGCCTCTCTCCAAAGCAAACTGTACTTGTGCTTCGTGATTGTCCCGGGGTGCAAATGACATAGGCAACACATTTCTCTTCAGCATATATGCTCCCCAGCTTGCAACCTAAAGAACAAGCAATCACACAAGACATTCAGATGAATAAAAAGGATTTCCAAGAGTTTAAATTCCTATAGCAAGCAATCCCAATATGACTAGGCCAGTTCGGCATTGCATTACCCCGCATCCTGTATCGAGCGCTGTTCTGACCGAGCCATCAGCTATTGGTATAACCGAAGCTAGCTCATTGATGTACGCATCAGCGCCCTGTGGAAACATGGTTCCGCCACCTGGAAACTTGAAAACATTGCCCTGATACTCCACCCAGTTCTGATTAGCTTTCTCAACCGTCAAACTCTTAAACGGAACATTAGCATAGTACACATAGTCACGACTCTTTGGCCATGGAAATGGTGCAGTATATCCCTTGGGAGCAGGTATTAGGCAGCGCAATTTCTCCTCCTCTGGAGGACAGTGTCTCTCCCGGTACGCCATATTCTCCCTTGGGAACTTCATCGCCCGGTCTTGCTCCTGACAAGGTGTGTAGTCCGTGTACTTGACATCACACGGCTTGTACACCTTGCCCACGACTTTGGACTGCTCGACTATCTCGATACTGTGATGTGATTCAAAGTTCAGATTTTTCACAACATCACAGTCTTCTTGTTGAGCTATCTGCTTAGCTATGGTGTCTCCTTTGCCAAACCCGCTTCTCTGCCATGTCCCCAAGAGGTAAAAGAAACAGCACAAGCACAAGACAAGGAATATCGATATCGGACTTCGCGATCTGATCCCATTCGGATTATCCTTGATGCCCATTGTATTAGTTCTGGGAGCTCCCCTGAAGCAGAAGATGTTGCCAGTGTTAGCTAGTAGATCCAAAATTACACGGTAGATAGATAGCTCTATCAAGCTACACAGTAACACAGGAGTATTAGCAGTAAAGTAAATAACCGTTATGTAAAGCCATATATTCCGATTAAATCAAGATATCTATTATTGATTATGAGAAATGAACTTAAAATATAGATTCTAAATCTGGAGAGTGGAAGCAGTTAGGATTTTGATCTACATTGAATCCTTGTTGACCCTGAAGTCAAATTCTCAATGATCCCATTTTTTAATGAAATTAGTTAGACCGACGACCTCAAATCCCGGAAAACAACAACCTTGGAACTATATCGCTCATGGCTATTAACAAAAAGAAGTTCAGCAAACTCTACAGAATCTGCAGGTAAACTAAGAGAGCAGTTAAAGAAATAACAATGATTCTTAGTAAAATCAAACTGACCAGGATTTGGATCCCTTCATCAGATTTAACAGTCGAAATTCAGAGAAAAGCAAATGAATAAAAAGCTAGGAGATAACGAACTTCGCTAAATCGGCAAGTTGAAAGGAAATCCAATGTGGATCCCAGCCCAAGTTTCAGATCCGACTCTGGAAACCAAAAGCTGAAAACTTTTTCAAGTTCGAACCTTTTCGAAATCGTGAAATCTCAGGGTAAGAGCAAGCAAATGGCGGAACTACCACGAACAAGAAGAAGAATAAGCATGAATGAAGAAAGCCCAAGTGAGAAATGAACACTAAAACTACTCAGCTGCAAATGGAGTAAATCGAATTGAATTCCAGTTGCAGAATTAAATGAATCGAACCTGAAAGCTGGGGTCTTTCCCCTTTCTGCACTAGTTTTAGCAGTAGGAGGAGGCAAGCAGAGAGTGAGTGTGAGGTTACTAGATTAGTAAGTGGAGTGAAGGATCATAAGAACGAAGTGGCCGTTTTAAAAGGGCAATATGAAAGCAAGCCAAGCTTGGAGTGGGAAAGGCGAAATAAAGGAAACGAGTGAATCTATGATTAAATAATTGGGAGGGGGAGTGGAAGACAGAACAGGAATGGCAGTGGCTGCTTGGTGATGGGCTGATGACGGTGGCGTAAACGCGGTGGATTCGGATCTTCCGGTATAATTATTGTTAATCGCTCGGGGTTTTTTACTGTCCTTATTTGCGGTTTTGGGAGGAGGCCGCCGTTAAGAAAGTTTTGGAGATAAAATTGGACTCTGAATTCTGAAAACAAAACCAAACGAATCTGTAAAAAAAAAAAAAAAAAAAGCGAGAATCGGTATTTTTGTAGCAAACTTTACTGTGGTTATGTGAAGTATCATTCTGGATTCTTGCGTCATAATTTGACTTTCTCCTGCTACTTCCTAAAAATCATTTGTATACATTTTACTTTACTTAAAAATCACTATCCATTTTAAAATTTACTAATTAATAAATTCATTGCAGGAAGAAGAAAAAAAAATTCACTTTACGACTTCATCATTTAAGAAAATTTTATTTTGAAACTTATGTGTTGAATATTCGGTTCTCACGTTTTATGTGTTTGTTTTGAATATTACCTAAATATGTTAACAAATTTAAGAAAACGTGCAAAAATACACACATTATTGATTGATTGCATATGGAGGCTACCATCAGTCCATCACTATAGTTTATAGAGGGATATATGATAAAATGGTGGATTTTTCCTTTGTCCATCAATAATAATTGTGAAATTTATGTCCATTGAATTGTTCTTTCGGTTCGAAACTCAAAATAATATATATGTTTTTACATTGGATTATTTGAATTTTTGTTCATACTTATGATTAATCATTTTGTTACTTGACCTTGACAGGAAGGATCAACCTTCTATGACACATTTGTATTCCTTATACGTGCCCTGCACTCATGATCGTATCACAAATTCACAATGGTAATTTTGTTGAATTTTTTTTTTGGTTACAAAAGTATATTTATGATCGAACATATTATCATTTTTCAACATTATCCTTACTTGTACTTCAATACTCATCTTTCTAGCTAGTGAATGAAGAAAACAATCATACATTAATTTTTGAAAGTGAGACAAAGAATACATACTGCCCCAACTTGGGTTGGTTGGTATTCAATTCAGTGTAGGGTTTGACATTTGAAAAGGAAGCGCATGGAAATATGGGTATTTCAAGGGAAACAGAAGAAAGGGAAATGTGGAATTTAGCTGTCACTTGTGGGTCAGTCTTCCCATTCCGTACTTGGAAAGGATAGAGATGTTGTATCCAACCCTTTACTCTGCCGACACTCTTAAGCATGTAAATTAGTTACAACTTGCATGCAAAACTATTAACCATTGCACACAGTTAACCAATCTACAAGAATGACCATGAAGATTAAATTGAGAATCAAGAGGACCTTGACTCTTGAGAGAGAGCTTCTGAATTTCAGTCTCTTCTCAAGAAGAGAGTGTCGACAAGTATATAACAGCAACTCAGAAAGCAAGTCCCGCTTAAACTAGGAGCTCAAAATGTGCATTGTACAGTGTATTTCATTACATGTTTGGCTTGCTGCTGGTATTAATAATGCATTTTAAGCCGTTTTATCCTCTCTAGAGCATCAAGCCGCTGGCTTTCACAGTTCGACGGAGCATCACCATCGCAATCGCCACAACCACCTTCCTCTGCATCATCATCCCTCTTTCTAACCAATCCTTTAAAGACCGCAGAGGGAACATCCTTCTGCACAATCTGGAAGACCTTCTCGTCATTGTTATCGGAGTCGGCTTTCTTCAGGAAACTCAATGTCTTCTCGATTCGCCGCAACTTTTACCCTGCCATCAGCCTGTGTCTGCACTCCAGCGCTTACAAACCCAAGTTTCTCGAGAGCAGCCATGCAATCCTCGGTTACCCTAGCTAGTTTCGACCTGTCTTTTGCATCGTAGATGCTCATCGATTGATCCTTGCGCTGTATCACATTCTCTGTTGAACGAAGTGTGTCTGCATCATGTAATTAGCAGAACCAGTTCGCTAGATTCGCAGCATTTTTCGGAAGGTATCTTCATTTCCGTGAAGAACCTCAAAGTCATGCCACTTTTTCCATAAATCTTGATCAGATACCGGGTGGGCAAACTGGGATGCATATCCATAAATTCCTCGTGCTCTGTCCAATTCTCCCAACTTCTTCTCTAGCTCAGCATACCGGAGGCACATTTTCTTTACATCCTTTTCCGGGAGCCCAGATTCTATTGCTTGTTGATATATCTCTCGCGTCCTTGAGGCACCAAACATCTCAGCAGAGCGGGCAATGTAGATTTCATACATATCCAGCTTCTCATTACTCGGGACTGCCTTGGTGGCTTGATCGTAAACCTTCATAGCTCGCTTCACCAAACCATAATCCTCCTCCAGCTTCGCATATTGAAGATACAAAGGTTTCACACAGTCTGCAGGAGTCATTTGACAGGCACGTTCGAACAGCTCTCTAGCTCGTTCCAGCTTCGTCTTGCCATATCTCTTCACAAACTTGGACAGATATGTCACCCATATGTCCCTCATATGTGGGTAGTTAAATATTTTTACTCCTCTCTCATACACCTTGAATGCATCTTCGAAGTATTTATTATCCTCTAGAAGGCATGCGTAGTTGATTATGATTAGTGGAGTGGCGATTCTTAGGTCCAACATTCGCTCATATACAGCACGAGTCGACTCTAATGTACCTAGGCTTTCCTCTAGATCGACATAGAGAGACCAGACTCTCAAGGACTTGTGCAGCTTCATCTGGACTGGTTCTTTGTTCCAAGCAGCAGCAGCCACCCTTCGTTGGACCTCAACTGATGGCTCTGCTGTTGCCCGCCTTAGAAGCTCCAAAGCAGCTTTGAAATTCTTGTGTCTGATTTCCATCTCTGCCCACTCACACCACACGCTAGCCAAATTATCAACAGTCTTGTAATCTACCTGCACAGCCTTATCAAAAATCACTCTGGCTTTGGCAAGATCATTATGTTCTTCATACAGCTTAGCAAAAGCAACCCAAAGAGTGTGAGGCTCTCCAACTGCTTTCATGGGGTCAACCGTTCTTACAGCCTCAGTATATGTTGATATCTGCTTACCCAGATCACCCATAAACAGCTTCACCCCAAGGTGCCATTGTCCCACATGGTGGGGATTTTGCCTCAGGGAGACAGTATTAATCAATTCAGGCCTTCTGACAATTAGATTGTCCAATCGAGCCATCAGCAAATCCGCAACTTTATCATCATCTAACCAAAAGCCAGAGAGTAACTTCTCCTCGAACTTTGAATTGGTGATATCCGATCGAATACCCACTTCCAAATCACTCTTCTCCTGACCATCATCTTCAGTAGACTCCGAATCCAAATCCTCCTCCATCATACAATCAGCCATGCCTTGCTCAAACTCAACATACGCATCGAAAATCACACTGAAATCCCTCACAGTGATTACAGTACACATGCCCTCCTCGAAAACATCTCTCGCCTTGTCAAACAATCCCTTTCTAATATAATAACAAGCCAGAGATGTCCACAGCCTGCCAACTTCATCTGTAAACTTGTGAATCCCACCTCTGATTATAGCATCCACATCGATCCCTGATACCTCTTTGGCATGCCTGGTTACCAAATCGCAGAACTCAAGCCACAACTCGTGCTTCGTTTTGCCTTTGGACGAACAAAACTGGTCATCATTCAAAATCGAACCCAACTGCTCAGCCGCATCTTGCCAAAGACCCCAGAATCCACCAGGAATTCAACGAAATCCTCAACATTGCTAGGATCATAGTTCAAATACCGCCTGTAAAACCTCAAAGAAGTCTCGGTCGGCAACCCTAGATCCTTCCTCGTGACGGAATTCAAGTAGAACTCCCAAATCCTATCATGCTGAGTCACAGGCAAGGCACGAAGCGTTCTGTCAGCAGCTCAGCGAGTTTTAGTCATAAATTTTCTGGCTCACCAGGCTCTCCAAGTACATAATCCAGATACGAGGCATCTTGTGCATAGTAAGCAAAGCTCTCTTAAATTCTTTTCTGAGAAACTTGTACTCACCGTCGGTAATGGGAACGTTTAGGGTTCTAACGAAATTGAGAAGTTCGGTGAGATAGGCATACCACAGCTTGTAACTTCCAGGCAAAGCGTTGAGCGCCCTCTCGTATATCCCTTTACGCTTCTCGAACGGAGCTTCTCGACGCGCCACTAGGTAGCACCACCATAGCTTGAGACTGAAGGGTTTCCGCAACAGCTCTTCCTCGTAGGGTAGATCGTCCTGCGCCAGATACAATTCTCTGCAGATTGACATTATCCAAATTTTTATTATGAAAACATTGCAAGCAAACAACCTGATCTCTGTTTCTTTCTTCGTAAACCCTAGCTGGAAGTGTGAGTAGGAATGGTAATGGGCAGGTCCGGGCCGGGTTTTTTGGTACCCAGACCCGTTCCGTGGCAGGGCAGGTTCAGGTCGGGTAATTGATCATGGGTCGTGGGCTGGGACAGGTCGATCCAATGGGTATGCAATTTATTTAAAAAACATTAGAAAAATTCATTATTTTTATTATAAAACTAAGAAAATAAACAATATTATGACAATTGTAGTTAAATTATTGGAGAAATTGAGGTTTTCACTAATTTGCAACTTTATTATAGCTAAAATATGATGAGATAAAAGTAAAATTCAAAGTAATTTGACTAAGATTTCATGTAATTTAAACAAGAACGGGTCGAGAATGGCGCGGGTCAGGGCAGGTCGGGTTGATGAGACTACCCATGCCCGCTCCGCGGGATGGGTCGCCCAAAACAGGTAAAACAGGTCGAGTAAAACGGGTCAGGTCGAAATTGCCATCCCTAAGTGTGAGTAGTCCCATAATTATGTAGCAAAGTTATAATGGAAAGAACGTGGTCTGTGAGGTATTGGTTTTGTATTAGCAAACTAACAAAATGATCATTGACCTGTTGGTCTTCATGGATTTTTCACTGCACGTCTGCAAATCATGGACATGAGGTGTTTGAATAGAATGATTTCAATTTGATATTTGAGGTTTGGATTTCTAAATATTAACATTTGTTTGGATATAAATTAAATATGGTATTTGGATATGTATCAAATTGATGTGGTGATTTCCAAATACATGTCAAGTGTATTACTTTTCAAATTCAAATACATATCAACAAATAGTAATTTGACATTGCTCATCATAGCAACAGATTGGACCTATTTGTAAAATTTTAATAGTTTAGATAGTATAGTGTAAGGGAAAACATATAAAGGAACTAAACGTAATTTTACCACAAACTTTTTGGACCTCTTTGTAAAGTTTAGGTACTAAATTATACAGAAAAAATAATTTGGATATCAAAAAATAATTTTCAAAATTTTTAATATGTGACTGAAATTTTTTTAAAAAATTATAAAATTTGAAATACCAATAAAATTCAGATGAACATCAAGCAACGAATTTCAATTACATGTAGTTCAAATGCAAGTATTTCATATATATGCATTTTAAATGCATGCATTTCAAATGCATTGTACATCCATAACCATCAATAATCCCATAATTCATGTATAAAAAAATAACTAACTTTTCTACATTATTTGTAAAATCGTACCATGTAGAAGATCCGGTCGAGAAAATCTCTTACAGGAGTCTAAACCGGTAGGTGGTATTTAGTGGTATGAAACGGTTGAATCATAGCTAGAGCACGGTTTTATCATAAAATATCATACTGCTGAATTTTCCGGTACAACCTCTAGTACGTTTTACTATCCTTACTTTCCCCCCCAATTAATGTAAAAGTCTACACCACTTTCAATTTAAGTTGTAATTCGATTTTATTTTGCACGAAAGATTAATTGTGTTCTTCAAAATGACATCCATTTTGATATATTTTTGCACAAAAAAACTTGAGATACATGTTAATCTATACCATGGTGGTATGCTTGGTAGTATATAAGATTATAACATGGTTATATGGAGATGTATCATGGCGGTGAATATATTATTGTGTAGAATGATTATTTACATGATAATATGAATATACTAATCGTCATTTATCATATTTCACCACCGTCTATCACCAGGTTACCATCCTATACTAGCTGGGTATTTGCGCTCCTCAAAATTTCCCCATAAAATTTATAGATAACGATGAACTCATTCCCTTTCTACAATTTTTTCCCAAGTTTTGAGTGCAAAATGAAAGTGGTACAAAGTGGTAACGAAGTGGTACATAATTTTGTTTTTCTTGAGATAATTTAAAAAGATGGCAAAGGCTAGCGTACACTGTTGTACGCTATACGCCGCCTATGTTCACACCTATTATTTGTATTTTGATAATTTTGACGAATCATAAGCGTTGATCTTCATTTTAAGATTAAATGAATCTAATAGTTTGGGTTAGAGAATTGGGGACTGGTTTCAACCTAAATCTTGTCTACATCTTTGTTGTAATTCTCTTTCAAGGTTGATGTAATAGGTACTTCGTATTATGTTGCAGCAACCGTGAAACAATTGTAACATCTCGTAATTTGCTAGCTACCTTATTTTATTAATACACAAATCATTCATAAAAAATGGCTAATATTTTGATTTATTACGCAAGATTTAGCTAATTAATAAAGATTACCCAAAATTTTAATAGATTTAACTAATAAATTATATTTACTCTAGCTATTAGTTACTTAACACTGGTAGAAAAAGTAATACACTGTAAATAGAAAGAAAAAACTCAGAGTAATAACTCCCCTTTACTTAACGGAAAACACTCATATTTTTATTGTGTAAAAAAGAACAAAAACTTGCAGATAAAAAAACAAATAAATAAACGACCGGCACCATAGAATTCCCCTATATATGTGTGTGTGAATTTGTGATATCTCTGTTACTCTGTGTGTTCTGCTGCGATTCCCTCCGAACGAAGCGAAACTAAAATTGAAGTAGAGAGAGATCGACCAGCCAGCTATCAGGAGCAACATGATTACGCGGAAGGCCAGAATCCCTCTTCAGAAACTAAAGATGGAGTTCAAGAAGCGAAGAAAATCAAGAAGCAGCACCGCCATGCCCGGCGCCAGCAGGCGCAAAGCAGCTAGTCGTCAATTGGGATCGGAAAGAAGAACCTCCACGGCGCGCCGCCGCTCCAAAAGAGGAGCAATCGATCTTCTGGGGAAGCTGCCGGATCAACTGGGAGCTGAGATACTTTCCCGTGTGGGCATGACGCTAAAAGAAACGGCGAGGTGCAGCATCCTTAGCAAAGGGTGGCGAAATATTTGGCAATACATCAACGACGGAGCTCTGGAGTTCGACGGTGACAAGCTAGGGAAGACGACGATCAACGAACGGCGGCAGTTCGCAAACCGAGTCGACCAAACCCTGAGCTCTCACCAAGCGTGCTTGAGCGCTTTGAGAATAAACTTCAACATGTTGGGGATGGACGAGCAAGCCTGGAGGTGGATCCAATTGGGTTTGGCCAAGCGAGTCAAACGGCTAACCCTAGAGTCCTGCTTCCCCTGTTCTCCCAACAAACGCCTCGGGGTTTCTCTGCCTCTCTTCAACCCTGCCTTCCTCAGCAAGCAAGACCTCACCCGCCTCGAGGCCTTGGAACTCGAGGGTCTGTCGGCGATTCCCAAAGGAACTCTCGAGCACATCTTCTCCGACCACTGCCCGGCCCTGAAACGCTTCGCCCTTCACAATTCCTACTTCGGTTACCATGGCTCCACCACCACGAAAGCAGTGATCTGCATCCGTTGTTCCAGCATCCAGAGTTTGAGCTTCCGTTTCCCTCACGGTGCTTACGATCTCTCCAGGATCGAGCTCATCTCTGCCCCGCATCTTCGATACTTTGAGTTGAATGCAGAAATCGAGACACTGACGGTGTCATTTGGGGGCGACGAGAACCTTCCCCGGCTCCTGGAGCTACGTCTCAGTTGATCCTGGCTCCGCGCTGCAAAACCCCGCTACCTCCTCCCGTCACAGCATAGCAGGCTCGTCCTCCAGGCGAATGACTTCCTTCCGAGGCTGGTTCTTCCCCGGCAATGGCAGCCGTCCACAATCGTAGCGTTGGATTTGCACATACCTGCGGTTGACGGCCTTCCAAGTTGGTTGGGTTGCTCCCTCGTGCTGATGGCAGCTCCGAAGTTGCGCCATCTGTGCATATGGTTCGAGAACACTTTCGGCCCAGAAGAATGGGAGAGGAGAGGTGACTTATTGTCGACGTGGAAGCATCACTCGCTGCAGGCGCTTCACCTGTACGGGGTGCATCCAGGAGATATGGAAGGACGGGTCAATCCTCGAGCACTCCAGCTAGAACTTGCTGCTCACATTATCATGAACTCGCCTTCCTTGACCCACGTCCTTATCGACACCGAAAGTGTTCCCAACAGATCCTACAGGCTTCCACAGCAGGCTGAACTTGATTGCTTGTACGCCAAGTATGAGTTGGAAGCCCAACTCCTCCACCCTGACTATTCCGCTTCCCACATTCACTTTACTTATCAATGATGAATTGATGATGATAATTGTTGATGCCAAACTACACAGAACGAATTTGTTCCATTAAGTTTCTCTGTTTTGTTTTGTTTTTTCATTTTGGTTCTTCCTTCTTACGAATGAATGTACGATGAAACATATGAATAGCACAAAGAAACATTACAACAAGGGATATAAGAAATAGTAGATTTGTTGGGAAAATTACACTTTCATGCATCTAATCACCCCCCTTAAACAAGGAAATGAGGATCAGTAACCTATTAACTATATCACATCCTATCATGTAACAAAGGAACTCCTACTCTCTCATCATTCCTTGTTTGCTTGCTGGATGCCTATCTACCCTCTAACAGAACTAAACAACAGAGTGAATTCAGGGGAGAGGAGAGAGCAACCTGAGACAACTGCAACACCAACCTATCTACATTGTCAGGGGCCCAAAACATGCTGCCTGAGGAAGTAACAACTACAGCAGGAAATGCCACCGGTTCGTCAGAACATCATCCCTAGCTTCTGCCCTGCAGAGAAAATCAAAACCACTTTACCTTATCCTATGTGAATTACAAACTAACTGTAGGAAGAAAGAAAGGCGGTTGGGTTTTGCACCAATCACTCTTGAAATCTAACCAGATTTGGAAGTGTGTGTTTGTTTATCAGGGTGTACTTCAGTGCTGCCGTTGGATCTTAGTTTGGTTACTGTTGCGTTTTTGGTTCTCTTCCCTGCAGAGCTCAAACTCCCTTCCACTACAAACGAAAATGAAAGAGAACACTAGTGTGTCACATTCGCTTCTAGCAAAATTTTCCACGCCTCAGGACA